GGCGCAGTTCTTACATTGATGACATCGCTCACGGTGCGAAAACATGGAATCAGCTTTGTGAAGATCTGGACAGTTTGCTCTATCGTTTACGTTACTGAGAGTTTACCAAAGAGCGAGTTTGGAAAACGATCGATCCATTATCTGTCACATGAGATTAGTGCAGAAGGTATCCGGGCGACCCCAAAAGTTGCGAAGGGTGTTATGGATCTACCGTTCCCTAAATCTCATAAAGGTGTGCTATCGTTTCTTGGAAGTCTGAACTATAACCATAAGTTCATTGAAGACTTTCTGGTAGTGGCAGCAGTCCTCTATGAACTTTCAGAAGACCAGATACGTCAGGGACGAGACCTCTCGCGAGCTCATGAGTCATTCGAACTGCTTAAAAGGAAATTCGTCGCGACGCCAATGTTGAGACATCCGGACATCCAAAAGCCGTTTGTGATCATTCCACACGCGAACCGTTGGGCTGCTTGTGCAGTCGTAGGACAAGACTACGACGGAAAGATACAACCTGTTCGGTACGGACGTGTTTTGAATGATGCTGAACTCCGGTATCATATTGCCGAGAATGAAGTGATTGCTATCCTGCGGGCGTTACAAGTTTTTCGGACTATTCTGGAAGGCCGACAATTGATCATCTACACAAGATATTCTGTTTTGAAATGGGTGTTACAGTCTAAGTCGGCAGACGGGAGGTACGTTCCTTGGGGAGTCACACTCTCACATTGGGATATCGAAATCTGGAAAGTCCAAAAGGATGGGGACGGACTGGTAGCCATCATGGGAGTAGGGATCACGCCACGAGAACATTTGGATGAGGTCGTTGAGAAGTTGATTCCCCTGAAAGGACATGTTCGAAAGCCCCCAGTAGTGAGTGTGGAGATGTTAGGAAGTGATTTCCAAGGAGTCGTACTGAGTTTCGACGGTGCCGCAAAACTCTCCACCAAAAAAGGAAGCTGTGGTTGTGTGCTATGGCAGCTACCTGGTTGGAAGGTTCTAAAGGCAAAAGGTTTCCTGTTGGAGAACGTCACGGTGAACGACGCCGAGTATCATGGGGTTATCAAAGGACTCGAGATGGCCATTGAAATGAAGTTGCAAGATTTAGTCGCAGTCGGAGATTCTCGAATCGTTATTCAACAGGTTCAAGGACTGATCAACTGCAATCAACCACACCTCCAGACGCATCTTGCCAACGTTGAGCTACTGAAAGCGAAGTTCGGATTGTTACGTTGGTACATCTGAAACAGGAATACAATCAGGCCGCCGATTATTTGACCACGAAGACTCTGATTCGGGATGAGTCATGGGACGTTACGGATACAGCCGAGATCGCGCATTTGGAGCACGTATCAAAGATTGTGGAGAAACTCATGAAAGTGGAAGGCTCCGGGTTGAAATCTGGAGTTGATGCAACTTCTGGAGAAACATTGTCAAGGGACGTCGCTGCACCGCCTACTGCGGAGTCAGCTCCACTAACCAAATCAGCCCGCGTGCTCGCAGCCGTAACGCGTTCCAGAAGCCAAGTCGAATCCACTTCGAGAAACCGACCTATGGACCCTTTGGAATTCCAAGCTGAACGATGGCGACGTATTCGAGTGCATCAGGACGCGGATGAGTATCTGTCAGAATTAAAAGACTTCCTGAAGGAGGATTTCGAGAGGTTTTCACCCCGAAGACTGAGGAAGATTGCCAAGGTCGCTGATCTATTCGTATTAGACACCAGAGATGTGTTGTATCGACTAGCTCGCTCGACTCGCGATCGCCCGCGAGACTTTCAGGATGAACCTCGACTCGTCGTCCCAAAAGCCCTCAGGGATGATGTCTTGCATTACGGTCACGAGGACTTCCAAGGAGGTCACCAAGGTATCACCAGGACACATAAGAAGATATGTTCGGAATTCTATTGGCCTGGGATGTACGCGGACGTTGAACACTTCGTGAAGGAATGGGTTGATTGTGCAAGTGGAAAAGGAAACCCTCCAAATGCCGGATCATCGCCCGGAAATATCGAACCCAGACAACCTTTCGAGGTGGTCTCGATGGACTTCGTTACGCACATGCCGAAGTCCGACCGAGGGAATACGTTTTTGCTGCTATTCCAAAATATGTTTTCCGGATATGTGATGTGCAAACCGATGGATTCAACTACCGCTCACGATGTCGCGGAGGCGTACGAGGAACGAGTATTCCGGAACTTCGGAGCAAGTTCGATGATTCGGCAAGACCAAGATCCCCGTTTCATGAGCGAAGTGGTTACGCGTTTTTGAGAACTCTTGAATAGTCGCCAGAGAGCCACTTTGGGATACCGGCCTCAAGCGAACGAACAACAGGAGCGATCCGTCCAACGGTGGTAAGGAGTATTCGTGCCTATATCGAGCAGGCCGACCGGAGCGATTGGCACGACCATGCGGAAAGGTTGATGTTTGCGCTAAATACTTCGTTTGACGCGACACGTGTAGACACACCGTTCTACTTGATTCATGGTTGGGATCCACAAAGTACTCTTAAAGCGATGTTGGGTCCAACACCGTCAAGCGTACCCGAAAGAACTGCTTATGAGTGGAGGCGAAAAGTTCAGAGAGACTATAGCTACGCGAAAGCGTGTGCCGAGGTTTTGCAGAACAAAGCTCGACGACATCGATCTGATCTCCAAACACAAAAGTGGAAGGATTTATCCGAACGGCTGAAGTCAGGATTTCAGAAGGGGGCCGCTGTATGGTTATACATTCCGAAGGTGCGGACTGGGCTAAATAGGAAGTTGGCACATCTATGGCATGGGCCCTTCCGAATTGACCCCTTCCGAATTGATGAAGTGTTAGACGATTTTAGAGTGAAACTGAAAGTTGACAGTACCGGTTACCGAGTCAATCCATGGGTTCATATCAGTCGCCTGAAGCCCAGAGCGTTGTTTCCCAAAAGACCGATAATCAGTGTGGATGTAGATGAAGAGGACGACTTCGATGCTGCGTTACTCTATATCCAAAAGGATGAATACGAGGTTGAGAAGATTTTGGATCTCCGATGGTCTAAAAAAACTCGAACCTCTAAAAGGCGTCGAGAGTACCTTGTCAAGTGGAAGGGTTATAACGATCCAGAATGGCTCGCCGCATCTCAACTGAATTGTGAAGGTCTGCTTTATGCGTTTAACCAAGGCGCACGTGCTCGAGCCCGGTTTCGAAGTATGCAGGCCGGGAATGAGATGATCACCCCCAAAATTGACATCTTGAAAGATGATTGTAAGGCGCTATATGTATGCAGGATAACAGAACTTGCTGCGAAGATTATCGGTGACCCAGCCCCTTAGGAAGTATGAGATTCCTAAAACTAGAATCGGAAAGCAGGAATTGAAAACGAAAGGAGAAGAGGACACACTCTGGAAATTAAGATTGATATGAATTATGGAAGCGCGCCTCCAAAGCGCTACACTCGGCAGATTGTGCAAGACGAAGTCGCCTAAATGTCCTCAGAAAGGGGTTCCCATTCCGCCTCTGGAAGGATTTTCTTGCGAATAACTTCCGGAAGGTGATGACGCGAGGCGGTGAACGCCTGGACCGCTCAAGTGTATAGTACGATGCCCAGGGGGGTAAACAACCAAAA